AGTTGCACAGAGAATTCCTTGAATGTTAAGCTGCACACAGACCCTGCAGTGTTCCTGAGCTGATGATAGATTCACAAAGCAGAGCTATTACCCTCTGTTGTGAAAATAATTTACTCCCTAAAAAGCACAAATTCAATACACCATTGCAGCTAAAACATTGCTTAATATCTGATACAGCTTGCATTCAAAATACATGTGGATACAATGATACGTAAAATACCGGCACGCAGCCTAAGTTAAGCACTCTCATGACTGGGAATTAAGCTGTTATTCCAGAGCTTTCATGAAAGCAACAAGTGGGAAAATTCTTTGTTGATGCTGCTAATACTTCTAATCTATACCAGGGCTGCAAACTACTCTATAGAACCATACACACAGAAGAACACTGATGCTTATTCCAGAGTAAGGTAAAGACTGAGGTTGAACATACAAGGACAGAGCAGAAAGGCAGATCAGAACTCAGCAGAGGACCAAAATGCCCACCATACCCTTTCTGAGGTTCTCATTGGGAAGAAGTCATGTGGACAGAAGCGTGCAGAACAATTCATTAAGAGCTGAAATCCCTCAGAAATTCCCACTGGAAATCCCACATGTTCCCAAGCTGTTTCAAAATGACCATCTCAAAAATGCTTTCTGGTAACACAGTTCACTCAGTAATTTGCCTGGAACAAACAAGAAAAACAATCCTCTTTCATTCATTCCTTGGGAGCTAGCCTCAGTTCAGTGATCGAAAGACTAAGAACAGGAAAATCAACTATTTAAGGTCTTCACATCAAGTCACTTGAATAACTGTTCTCATCTCAGCAATTAATTCACCTAGCACTCACTCAATAGAGGGCCATTCAATGGCAATTTCTGATCAGTACTGATCACTCATAAATGTGGCATGAGAAGACATCAAGGCAGCAAGTAATGCAACAGAACTGCCTCCCCCACACCAAAGCAGGCTGAAGCACAGGCGTCACGAGCCTAAATGCAAGCTACACGATGGCCAAGGAGGTGTTTGTTCTGACAGGATCCACCAAGCTGCACCAGAAAAATGGATACATTAATCATCAGGAAGAGCAAGCACAGAACACTGAACGAGTTTATTCTTCATTCCATTACATCTGTGACGCTCGTCAATTATTTTTTCCATTAATATATAAATACTGGGGCTGTATTAAGGTGAAAGCAGGCAGAGCTCCATTTTTAGCTTCAATATTCACTAAAAGCAAATTTCAACTTCTGCTGGTGAAGTAACCTAGCAGTTATGTGTAATATTGGTTTTGTTCCAGACTAAACACATTAAGAAATTAACTCCTGTAGCACTGACTCCATTTAGTCTTAATACAGAATTGTAGAACTGTTCCACGCTAACGAGTTTCACGAGCCATTTGAATGTATTTAGTGAGTATTTAGTTGCTACCTTTGGAACGCTTAATGATAATGACATGATGAACAGTACCAGTTAATGAACTGTACGTGACGATGTGGCAACTCCTGCTTTGTATGTGGGAAAAAGCCAGAAAGCCCACAGAAGTGAAGCAGGGCACAGACAACTATTTTCTAAAACAATCCAGTAAAAACGCCAATTTCAGGCAGTGACCTTCTAGAGGTTATTTTTCACAGGTGATAAATGTGTGTCCTGTCTGGACAAAGCAAACTAGCTGCCCAAACTCATCTCCCTCATTCCTAACAGCAGAAAACAGCAGGAAATGAATAGCTACCCAACAGTATGATTGCATGAATAAGATAATCAAAATATGGCTAGCCCATCTGTACCATCACAGATATCATCTTGACAATCAGCACATAAGCAATTACACTGCCTCATACAAATATTTTTCTTCATAAGCATTTTCCATTTGTAGTGGAAGATTAATGTATCTAGATGTGGACAGTGAATAGCCAACTCCTACCACTGGTTGATGAGCGTGCACACAAAGGACGCACTGGGTGGGAATTCACACATCCTTGGGAGAACAGCCACGTTCCTTCCTCAATGGAAATTAAGCAGTGAGGAAGCGAGCGTCAAGATTCAAATAAAAAAAGACACACTGTTGTGAGTTTTTCCATGTGGTGGTAAAATCCAGAGAAACCCTTCCTAAGATATCAACTGTGAGCACCCATCTGTGCAGCGTGCACTTCTCTGCTTACAGAGAGAAAGAGGATTTGAACAACAGAAGATAATTTGTTCTGCGATTGGTGTTCAGTCTCACTTTGTAACCAGCATTAATATATCTGGATCTAAGTGCACTACTCATTTGAAAAGGTATTCAGGCCTTACAGAACATTTTCAGCATATATGAATAAGTACAAAGCTTCTCATGTTTTGATTGTGTCTTATTTTACCCAGTATCCAGGACATAAAATCTGAATGCAATGCTCCATTTCAGTTAAAAAAACCAACAGTCTGGACCAAGGTCACCAATGCATTATGCCAGAGTGACTCCAATTAAAATTAATGGCATGTTACCAGAAAAAAATGGATTGTAACAAAGTTACCCATTTCCTCTTACTGAAAATGAGCATGCAGAGATGAGCAAGTTTTTAAACCGTAATTATATGGTCCAGTAATATGACTGGCCTGGTGTCTTGGCCACATGAACACTTCTATCTTGGTGATGTAACAGCACAGCAAAAACCAGCCCAGCCAAGGAATGCTCACTCCAAGGATTCAAAGCAGTACTTCGTATCAACAAGGACAAACAACCAACCAAACAACAACAAAAAAACCTGTAAGAAATCAAACACTGCTAAGGCTGCCTTGGACAATTCTATTACAGCACAGAAAGAGGAGATGAAAAACTACTCTCAGTGGGAAAACGAAGGACAAACACAAGCTCAGCATTAAAAGCTTGATAAAAATCTCTGCCTTTTTCCTACCAGCTGTATGTCAGAAAAAAATGGGCACATCCCACATAATAACCCTCAGAACTGCCTAGAAAAAAATCAGGAGTGCAGCCTGAAGGTGAATTTGTTCTATTATCAAGGTTGCCAAATCATCCCTTATCATTACTGGCACACATGTATAACCTGCCCCACAAACATGAATAACTTCAGTCCTTCCAAACCTTTATAGCACAAGAACAACCAATCCCTGTTTAAAAAGCTGGGGAAACTTAATGGAAGAAAGTTGGAAACTGCACTATGGAAGACAAAAGAAAACAAAGCCGTGCTTTAAAGGCCAGGCACACTGCAATACTGGGATCAAGTCAAGTAGAATCAGGAGCAGTTTTAATTTATACCACGTGCACAGAGATATCACACTTCCTTAGCAATGGAAGGGATCTAAATCCCCTTTCAAGGAAATGGCAAGGCTGTGGGTGGATAGAAGAGCCAAGCAGAACACTCACCCACTCTCCCTACATGCATCACACAGTGGGTCCAGTAAAAGATACTGTGAGGGCTGCTTCAAAAGTAATGCCTCCTATTTTATTGGGTTGTCCCACAGCCTCAGAGGTGGATGTTGGTGGTAGGGCAGTAGAGACTGAACCTTCCTGGCAATATTCTTTTTATCATAGAATGGCCTGGGTTGAAAAGAACCACACTGCTCATCCAGTTCCAACCCCTGCTGTGTGCAGGTCGCCAACCAGCAGCCCAGGCTGCCCAGAGCCACATCCAGCCTGGCCTTGAATGCCTGCAGGGATGGGGCATCCACAGCCTCCTTGGGCAGCCTGTGCCAGTGCCTCACCACCCTGTGAGTGAAAAACTTCCTCCTAATATCCAATCTAAACCTCCCCTGTCTCAGTTTAAAACCATTCTCCCTTGTCCTATCACTATCCATTTCTCATTTGTTCCCACCAGTGGAGTTTCCTTTGTAAATACCTTATTTTCAGAAGAATCAGAGGTTACTCCTCATTTCTACACCTTGTAAGAAGTAGCTTGTATAGGAGACCATCATAATAGAGACCTTAATACTTTAGGAGCACTACTGAAAAAGGTGACCCAAACTATCAGCTCTGCATCGGGCACAGTCACACCCGTCCAGCATTACCCTGGAGACCTTTCACAGGAGGTTACTTCATCCAATATAGATTTATATAGACTAAGTCTAAGAACAAAGAAACCAATTACACGATCCACAGGACGTGCTGTTGAGCTGCCCAGCAACCTGCTGTGCTGTTTGCACATCAGTACACAAAATGTTCTCCAGTGAAAGCACTGAGATGGTGTGAGCATTAGAAGTCAGTGCGAGATCTCTGAGTGAAGGGTGTTCAAAATGGTCTTTGTCATGCTCAAAATTCTCAAGTACATTCAGACAGAACACTGAGAATCTGTAAGTACCAAACAGCTGCAAAGTCAAATGTTGCTGAAGAGCACAGAGGCCTAATAGTGCTGCACAAAACCAATCAAAACAACAGAACTGAATATTAACTTCTGCCTCATTCAGTCTGGTAAATCCTAGGGGATGAAGCAAGCATGAAACAAAACATGAGAGCCCCTATGGGATCTAATACTTATGGTTTTATTTTTCCTTGATCATACCTGGAACAATATCATTGTTTATTTTACATAGATTGCTTCCCACACCCAATGAGATGCAATTACTCAGAAGTGAATTTAAAAGAGGTAATTACCCATTTTACTTTTTTTTACTTAATAATTCAAGCACTGAAGTTACGTTTGCACTTTTTCAGAACAAAAACCTGCTGCTCTTAAAAAAGGGCACACCCTCACTTTCTCACACAGGTGGAATTGGTTCGAATACATAATCATAATCACAGATCTCAACCCAACTGCAAAAGGTATGAGGGTACAAAGACTGAACAAGACTGCTCCTCTGCAGTCACAGGCAGCCAGAGGGGGAAAAAAAAGGTAAGAAAGCCTATCTGCTAAGGATGCACCACCCAGAAGGACTGAAGTATTTGAGATGAAACCAAACAAAAAGTTCCAAGTGACAGAAGCAGAATTACCAGCTTTTCTGTAAAAAAAACACCAGTTCTAAACCAAAATTTCCCAATTCCTCAAGAAGAAAACTTAACATTTTTGTATACAGTGAGTTAAATAAAAAACTGTTTCCACCATAAAAGCAAAGCATTGCATTTATTTTATGACATCTAAGACACCTCAAAGGTGAATTGAAATTTTCCACTGGAAGCAGCCCAGACCAAACTCACAGGCTGTGTGCAATACATTCAAAATAAAGAAACAACAAAAAAACAACACATGCAAATGTTATCTAATCAAATTATGATTTTTCTTCCTTCCAGCAGTTTGTAGTAGCTCTGTTTCCTACCACTTGACTGGGCTCTGCCCCTGTGCTTGTTCCATCTTCACGTAAGTGTCATACAGCTCTCTCAAATGCACTAACAGTTCCTCTAGGTTGTCTCCTGTCAATGCTGACAATGCAATGACTCTGTCATTTATCTGTTCTTTAAGGAGTGGTAGATGAATCCTAGACTCAGCAAGGTCAATTTTATTCCCAATGACAACACAAGGCCTTGTAGACAATCCTTTTTTGTATTGTTCAAGTTCATATTTTAAGTCTTGCAGCTGAATCCACGGCTGAGACACAGAGAGATCCACCACGTATAGAAGAAAGCAGCATCGTTCAATATGCCTTAGGAAGGCCATCCCGAGGCCCCTGTTCTGATGAGCACCTCTTATTAGGCCAGGAATGTCAGCAACTACAGTGAGAGAAATGTCACAGTGAATCCAACACACTTAACAACAAGGACAAAGTCTTTCCCAATCCACTGCAAGTGTTACATAATTACACCACAGCATATAAATACTAAGCATAACTAATGTTAAACCTGGCTGCTATTATCTTACACCCCTCAGATTTAAGTTATCCCAATGAAGACAGAATTCAGGTGGCTAGTTTGATATTAAGGCAACGTATAAGTGAATGTGAAATGGGCTTTCAGCATTTTTGTTACATCAAGTTTGAAGTTCCGTAGAAATAACTCAACAGAATTGTTAACTTCTACAGCATTCAAAGATGAAGCTGTGTGACACAAACAGCTATCAGGACGTGCTCAGTGCACTGCAACTTTTACCTGCTACTTGTTCATAGTCTTCATAGCGGACGATGCCGACGTGGGGGTTCAGAGTTGTGAACGGGTAGGCAGCCACTGCCGGCTTCGCGTTGGACAGCGCTCTCAAGAGCGACGACTTCCCAGTGTTGGGAAAGCCCACCTGGAAGACAAGCACCCATTAAAGCCACAGCTCAAGGTTCATTCCAATGATACTTAAATAAAAAACAAACAAACTTTAACAGATGCAGAAACGTTCTCCCAGTAGGGACAGAACATTAATTTTGCCCCTTGGTCTCCCCCCTTTTATTTATAGGTGACATATCTCACAAAATAGATCAAACGTAGAAAGATCCCCATAATTTATTTTTCAGTGCAGTACCGAAGCACTTATTTTAATCTGAAAAAACATTACGTCTCTTTGTTCTGCTCTTCTCATTTCATCTGTGCTCTAATTTTATCTCCACATTGTACTGTTCATCTGCAGGTTCTGCAGACAATACCTGCTGTACACATCAGTGAGCATTACTCATTCATGAATTTTGGATACTGCTTTTCTATAGATACAGTTAATTTTAGAGAAAGCAGGATGAAGCAGCAAGAGCCTGACAGCTCTGCAAATCACTTTGGACATCCTCCTACCAAATAACAGCAAGAAAGCATCAAATTGCATCTCAAAACAAGCAAGCCAAAAGGCCAATAAAAATGTTATCAGACATTATTTCTTCAGTCAGTCAAACGTCATCCTGCAACAAGGAAGGTAAAGAACCATAGCAACACTCACCAATCCTGCATGAGCTGTTGTCTTGAGTTCCAGATGGAGGACCCTCTCCTGACCTGGCTCTCCCGGAGTAAAAAATGTTGGAGCTCGTTTTTCGTTGGAAAGAAAAAAGCGATTACCTTTCCCTCCAGCTCCTCCATAAGCTGCAACATACTCTTCACCATGTTGAGTGAGGTCAGCCACAACTACTCCATCCTCCTTTACCAACGTACCTACAGGCACCTTAAGACAAAGAGAGATTAACTTCAGTGTAGCATCTCCAACAAAACCTTCTGTAGGCATATTATCCTACGAAGCGAAAGGAAGTCAGGACTGTATTTTGGTCAGATGTACCTTCCAAATAAGTCTAATTTTGATGAATAATGAAAAGAATTTTGATCTGCCTGTGTGCCAACCAGTTCCTGCAGGGCAAAGCTCACTGTAAAAGCGTATGAGATATGTTCTCTTCATGAGTTCATCAACCTTGAAAATGAGCAATGTAAGTAAAGCTAACATAGCAACCAGAACCTTAACTTACTTTAACATAAATGCACGCTCCATTGGCTCCGTAACAGTTTTTGCTTCCTCCTCTCTCTCCATGAATACCCTGATAGAAAGGGAGGACTGAAGAAAGTGATTTCGTTTGCTGGTCAGCTGTAAAGCAAAACACGTGCATTTTAAACACACTGTTCTAGCAGAACATGCAAAGTAGAACTCTGTTTTGACTCTTCTTTCTGTTTCTGACTACATTGATAACGTATCTGATTCACTGTCTCAACATAATGAATCAGAGAATATTAATATCAGTTTAAGTTGTGAAGTTTAACTGCCTTTACTTATCTGCTTAGGTTTGTTAATCATACATTTCATTAAGTGGTTCATTCCAAAATGTACACAACCACTACAAAATCCTCAGGAAAATGCTGTTGGCAGATTAGCAGATTTTGCAGCAGAGTGGTACCAGAAGCAGCCTTACCTAGCTTAAGGGTAACATTTGTTGGGTTGTCTTTATGTAGCCAGGTAGAAGCCACTAAAACATTTACAAAATACCACGATTTTTAACACACTTCCTAGGAGACTCTTCTAAGGCTGTCAGTGTCACTTATACCCTTCTTACCGGAGCTCAGAACAAAACACAGAAGCAAAGACAGCTTAGAGAGAAACAACCTCTTCCTCGTGGAAACAAAAAACCAAACCGAGCAACAGATGTAAGTTGATAAGACAACAGGAAGTAAAGCAGATTTGTTGAGTTTTACCTTTTAAAATGACATGCCCTCCATCACCTCCATTTCCACCGTCAGGACCTCCAAATATTTTTCTAGGTTCGCTATAAAAAGATTGACCTCCTCCTCCTCCTTGTCCCCCAACCACACGCACTCTCCGGTGATCCACAAAATAGCGGGTCTGCAAAGATGATGAGATTTGTTGCCTTTAAGTACAGTTTATCACAGACACCATTCAACAAGCTAACTGCCCTACAGAACTTAATAACGTGCAGATGTGCTTCTTTCGTCATTATGAGCTCCTCTAAACTGCTGTAATTCACAGAAAAATTAAATGCAGACTACAAAGTGCATCTTTGAATAAAAAAAGAATCTAATTATCAGTATTTTTAAGAGTTTCTTTAAAACACAGAAAGTATGCTGATACAACCTAATGAAGCAGATGTGCAAGCTAAAAAGAGCACACAACAGAGAAAGTATCTTTCCAATACGATTATGTACTGCTGACACAGGTAGCATAAGAGAGCTACTGCACTGCCAACCAGAATCAGTCCGTCATCGTGCTCTTATTCATGTGAATAAAATGGAAAGAAGACAAACAGATAAGCTTCTAAAAATTGAACTAAAATCTATAGAGGACATAGTGTCTTGTGTGGAAGGATGTTCGCACACTGACTCATTGCTTTCTCCACCTGGCGATGAAAGCAATACAAATTTCAACCTATTAACAATTAAGAAAATTAAGGAGAGTGATAAAAAAGTAGAGTAAGTGAAGTTACTTTTAATACCTGTCACAAGCGGTTGCTCAAGGGGTAAAGGTGCAGAGAATTCCAGATTTTGGCCCCATTTCTGACACGACTTTATCATCTGGCTTCTGGCTGTGCTGTGCTTTGGCTTTCCTGCCAGCAACAGCAAGCTGAAGGCAGCTATCTGTGGGAAGTGCCATAAACCCGCACTGTAAATGTGGGAGAAACGAGAGCTGCGCCCGTGCAGGTGGACGGAACTGTTCAGTCAGCGTGAATGCAGCGTGCAACTCGGCTGCACTAACGCATGAATTCTGTCAGTTACCACAGGGCTTTATACTAGGAATCATTTAAATTAAACTGCCCACGTAGTAGTGGGATAAGATAAGCGTTACGATCTGAAGGCAAGCGAGCGCATAAATGGAACTCGCGCACAACGAGAGCTCCGTTCGGGGCAGCGCTGCGACAAACCGCCACTACAGATCTAGCACCACCACACGGCGACACGGGGAACTCGTTTTAAACTGAACCGTATCGGTACTAGCAGAGAAGACATTCCATCCGGACACGAAGAGAAGCTCCTGCGCGGCTTCTCCAACACGCAAGGCAGGCTGTAACACGCCGTGACAGACAGCGACGGCCGTGCGGAGGGCAGGGCAAGGAGCGGAGCAGCGCGGTGCGCAACGCAAGCACTCACCAATTTCTTTTCCGAAATGACTCTTTTTTGCCTCAGCCGCCTGTTCTTTGAGCACGCCGCGCAACTCGTGGAGAAAGCCGGCTCTCGGCCGGGCGCGGATCTCCATACCGACAGCACCCGCAGCGCCAACGCGCAGCGGAACAGCATGGCACCGCCGCGCCGGCTCCGCCCCGCGGCATCCACAGCGCAGCCGCCCGCCCCGCCCTGCGCTGTGCGCATGCGTAGCGCAGCGCCGCCGGCCGTTGGGAAAGCGCGGGAAGAGCGGGGCGCGCGTCCCGTCAGTGCGCTGTGAGGGGGATCCCCTCAGTCTGCGCCGTAAGAAAAGCACCACCAACTTCGCTTTCAGATAACGTTTAACCTAAACAATTTCCAAGCATTCTGTATTACAAAACAGAAAATGGTTACAGTTAATGAAAGAAGTCAAAATGCTGGCATCACGTCGTTTCCACATCGATACATAAAAATGGACAACACATTAAATAAACATTTTTGTTATTAACAGTTAGAAATATTAACACCAAAATCATGTATAAATTAGGAAATAAATGTACAAACTATTTCCAAAGTGCTCTTTCAAATACATTATATACACAACATTCAAGAAGTTCTTAATGTAAGACATTTCAGGGTGGTGGGATGTTGCTGCTTCGTTCCAAGTGTTGTTCGTATTCTCTCCAAAGGATTTCAGCACTTTCAAAAGCCATGGGGGAGGCCGGCCGAGAGCAATGTTGCACTCTGCCTACCTGTGATATTAACATAGCGTAAAGAAAACAAACCTACTTCCTTTCCTTTCCTTGATATTTGAGAGTACTTACTTGTATGAAAACACCAGCAGGAAAGATGAATGAAATGAGGACGGGCTGAAAACGCCTTGTTTTATCAGTAATGAAAGCAGTAATGTTGCAAGGGCAGTGCTTGGACAACATCCCATAGCAAACTGTCCACTTACAGACTTTTCTCTACAGGAATAGACGTACTGAAGGGAGAGATCTTCTGTTTTACCGTGGTCTTGGTTTTTCAAAACACAAAGTGCTAGAACTCAAAATCCTGCAAGTATACCAGTTTCAACAAACAGAAATCCTACAGCAAAAGGTAAATTTACAGCATAAACGTCCAGTTAATCTCCTATTAAAAACTGCTCGTTGCTTATAACCACCCTACTCTCACCACAGAGAAATTTGAACGTGTAATTTCATTTGTCAGTTACAGAAGCACTTCATAAGGGCTTCATTCAACACTCTACAGGGACATGGAAGTAACTCCAGATGGTCATACTGGCTTTAACACACCTCTAGTTCACGTTTCTAGATTCTCCCTCTATCGATATTCTGTACTCAGAATATTGTTCCACAATCAAAGCTGAATTTGGTTGCTTTTCTGCCACCAATAAATAAATAAATAAATAAAAATCTCTATTTCTGAACTATTTCTGTTAAGCTAAAGAGAAAAAATGCTGTCAAGAAGCATAAATACAGTCAACAACAACAATAAAAAAAGAGACAGTATTTATGCTTATAATTCTTGCTGGAAAACTTCAGTAAGGGCTATGGGAGAATCAGAAATAAAGAAGGATGCCAGCCACCTGCCTGTGGAATTTGGCATGAAAATGTGTGTGCAAGTTACAACATTTGGAGTAGCATATTCAAGACTGAAAGGGTGCCAGATGTTTTCTCAGCACCGCATGTAGCAATACTGACATCCAGGAGGATGCACTGCAGATCTCTGAACTTCCTTCTGTTTTTCTTTCCATGACAGAAATACCTTTGTTTACATGGATATATAAAAGGTGCCACTAGTGATTAACATTTCCTTGAATATAGGTTTTGATCATCTTTCTGTTCCTTTTACAACAGAAATAATAGACCTACGCAGATCATTGAATGATAAGACCTGGGTAGTTTGCCCAGTAGGTACTGCAGAGATTGCAGTCAATTTTATTTTTATAGCATGGAGCTGTCTTCACATAAGGAATGAAACCTTTCCCTTATGCTTAAGAAGTGAAGAGCCATGGATTTCAGAGGCTGGCAGGTAACCTGCAATACATTTAGTTTTAAAAAAGTTGATAACTTACCATAGGACACTTTCCTGGACTGAGATATGACTGAATGGCTTCGTATTTAGTTAGAGTGCAGAATAACCTGGCATTTTGTCAGAACGGGGCACAACTGTGATCAAATGATCCTAAAGCTATTTAGAAACATCAAGAATGGGGGGAAAATTAAAAACTTCTGCGTTGTATCAACATACAGTACTATACACAGCACCAAATATCAAACCATTAAAGCATTGTCTTGTTACCAGTAGTGCACTGCTTCATATCCAGCATGAAATGAACACTGTTCACATACAGACGCTGCTTTGTGCTAAGGGGTAACCAACATATTACAATTAATCAAAACTGCCGGCACATCCAGTTCAAAAGATGGAAATACTATTGAAATGAATCTGACACAGGATCATATTCTTTTATTGCTGGTAATTTCCATATTGTCCCTGGGGGGGAAAAAAAAAAAAGAGAGAAATATAAATGTTGGAGCATAATATATCAGGGATTCATAAACAGAGTTAATTTTCTGCTGGTTTATAAATTCTGCAAGATCCACTCAATATGTCTGCACCAAAATACCAGATAGATTTATGTGCAGAGCTAGCAGCTAAATCTGCTTTTTTATAGCAGAAATTAAGACAATTTACCTGCTCGTAGCCATAAGGCCTCTGCTGCTGAGCGGATGGTCCTGTCTGAGAAGCTCTGTAACTCCCATATTGCTGCCCCTGTCCCTGTTGGTAGCTGGAATACTGTGAAGATGCTCCTTGTGCAGGACCTGAGGAGACAGAGACAGTTATTAATAGGAGTCCATTTGCTACAGGGTAATAAAGGTTAGCGAATACATACTGCAAGGCAGTCCCTTGCCTTGAAACCAGTATTTAGAATAGCCTTGTTTTCTCCAGCCCCTGTTTTTTGTACTGATTAACCTGAAATGGTTTCTTTCTTCCAGAGACCACGGGTGCCTGCAGCTGACCAGTGAACAGTTCAAACCTGGTTTGATGACAGTGAAGAGCCTTGCTCTGGCAACCAGAAAGGTTCCACAGCCCTGTGACAGCGTTAGCTGTATCTCCAAATCACTTCCACTTTTTTTCTTTTCACCTTATTTCCTCACCAAGGATTAAAACCTTTGCACGATGTTGCAAAGCGGTTCTCTGGATTGTTGATGTCAGTTTGGATTGTCTGAATTGTTTTTATGTCAGCTGCAAAACTATTGGATGTGTAGGAGGCATGAGAATCCAGGCAGTGACCTTCTACCAACACCTCCCAGTCAACATGAGGCACGAGTACTTTATAACTTTCTCAAGTTATCAAGAAAGAAAGCAATGGGATGCTAACATAGCAGTTTGGAGTTGCTATATTAATGGATGTTACTGCCCAATCTCTTTTCATGCTATGCTGTTTGGCTAGTTATAGTATGTGCATGGCCAAGGTTAATCAATAAAATAGTTTAGCATAGTTTAGGTGAGGAATGGAGGCATCAAGATTAAGTGCTGCAAATACTTGACCAGTGGCAGCTTTACCATATCCTTGCTGTTGTCCTGGGTAACTTTGTTGATTCGGGTATTGCTGCTGGGAATATGTTTGCTGTTGTGCAGCTCCTTGTTGGTATCCTGCCTGCTGCTGGCTGTACTGAGAGTTTCCTAAAGTGGAAAAAAATGACACAGTGTGGTTATGCTTGTAGCAGACCTTCCTCTGTTCCATCTCTAGTAAGGAGCCTTGGGCTGGAGCTCACAGACAGGCACTCTTTCAGAAACAGGCGTTTGCATTTCACCAGTCATAATGAATTTATTTCTCTAGTGACTTTTAGTTCTTTTGAATGGGAGGGAGTTGTTTATTTACACACATCATTAAACCAGTGAATAAGCAACCTGCTCCCCAAAGGGTTTTTTTCTGCTAAAGTGTTTCAGAAGAAAAAGGCAGAACCATAAAGATAAGGGTGCCAGGGTACACAGCTGGTTTCTCAAAAAGCCCTCCCAGTGTATTTTGATCCAGATAACAGTGTTTATTCGTACATCCCAGAAAGACAAGACATCTAGTTGTTACTGATTTTTAAAAACAACTACAATGCAGTATCCTAACAGTGAAATTCTATCTGGCTCAGCTACACCTGAGGATAATTTTTTTTTTAATGAACATGAGACTGTGCACAAGCTGGCAACGATCCCACAAGGCTGCACAGCGTGTACCTCACACAGGTACTGACATGCTGCGTACACAGTCTGATAACGGTGTTGGTATAACCGTGCTGTAACACCTACATTTTGTCTTCTGGACACTTAAATAATAGCTAAGTAGCAGTTCAGTAACGTGTGCAGTGCAAGTCATGTTTTACATTTCCATAAGCATGCTGTCTCCTTAGTATTTTAGGGGGCTTTAGGGGGCTTTAGAGGGTTACAAAGATTCCTGATATTTTCCTACCTCCTTCATAATAGTGTTGTGTGGAGTCATCAAATGACCTGTCATAGCTCTGCTCAGTGTAGGATGACTGCTGATAGGCATAGTCACCATGTCCTGTAAGAAATTGCAAAGATTTATCAGATACATGCTTAATATAACTATATATATATGCTGGTGAATACATGCATTACAAAGTTGCTTAGGCATAAATATGGGGCTAAGAGAAAATAACCAACCTAAGACAGGAGCTTGAATATGCAGCAAGGAAGTTACACCTACACATAAATCGCTAGCATATACTCATCCAAACTCAGCTTCATGCCCTTTAGGAAGCAGTCTGATAGCAGTGTGCACTCATATGTATGTGTCTGTTTGCTGCTTCCAGGCAGAGGGATTAGAATGTTCTAACACTCGAAGTGGAAACAAATCCCAGTGTGTTTGCCATGTCTTCGGATGTGGCAGTCATGCTGGCCTACACTGTATCAGCACTACAGCGACAACAGTACAGAGGAATTACCATCTGGATAATATTGCTGATTCATAGGTTCTGATGAGCCTTGTCCATGACTGTACTGCTCACTGTAGTATTCCTCCTGACCCATGTACTGCTGTGAGGAACCTGCAAGCAAAGATGAGAGAGCACACTGAGCCCATGGACGACTGAGTGATGTTTGTTATCTTCTTTTTTTTTTTTTTTAAGAGAACAGCATTGACATCTTGATAAGTAACAGGCTATGTATGTTGAGAGCAGTTTCAAAGATGTTTTGCTCACTGGAAAAAGGAAACAACTTTGTATTTTTAGAAAACAAAGCTAGTTGAAATTGAAATTATGCAACCTTCAGTAATAGAAGTCCTAAAACCACTCTCTTGTATGGCAATACCAAAAGTAATGGCAACGTTTCATCTACTAATCTGAGATATTAGGAAGCACAGGAATGTATTCCATGCTCATGTACATAGAGAGTTAAATATATTTCAATTAGTGTATTAATTTGTTTCTCAGCAAAATTCAGTTTATATTAGAATCAGTCTAGCAGCTTTGTTACCTCTTAGAACTTTTTCCAGAGAGGTGTTAGAGCATGGTGGTATTCTTCTGGTGTTTTCCTTGCTTTGGCCTAATTTTTCCTATTAATTGCTGGCACATTCTATCTTGTTTGCAGAAATGAGTTCCTTGTTAATTGTGCCATTTTACGGCTGATCCAATACCATTCAAAAGAAATGAAAAGGTTTCCAGTTACTTCAGTGAGCTGTATATCAAATAGTTCATCTTTTCTTTTCACCGTTTCTTTTAGACAGAATTATTCCTAAACACCTGAAATAGTTAAATAAACTTGAAAAGAGATTAAAGTTCTTCTGATTGTCACGGTACTTCCAGCATTTCAGATTTCCCTTCTTTCCAGATGGGATTCCTAATGCATAGAAGTGACTTGGAAATCTTGTTCTGCCTACCCTGCAGGTGATCTCATGGAGCTGCTGCTGCCCCCAGCAGTGAGCTAGGCATACATCTCACCTTGCTGGGAAGCTCTGTAGGGGCCCATCGGTCGCTGACCCATCATGCTGTTGCCCTGGTTGCTCTGGCTCATCATGGCAATGGAGGACTGCCCCTGGTAATGCTGGCTCCCTCCTTGTGCCGAGTTGTAATGTGACGTTGCTGCTTGCTGGTGCATCATGGAGACTACAATGTACATGGAAAATCTGTTTTGTAAAGGGATGTGATGGTTCTCTCCCTAGTCTCTTTGGAAGCAAGTTAAAACGTTCAACTACATTACATCCTGATCATTCTATGAATTTTCCACAGGGGGAGATGTTTTCCTACTCTGTGCATTGAGCTCTTTTCAGTGAATCCAACAAGGATGCTGTTACTTGTCAGTTCTTGCCATTTGTTTCAGTCACAAATTTGACAGCACATCTGAGTACTGCTAGTTGATTTGAAAAGAATGCATCGTTACTGGAGTAGGATTAAAGAAATAAGAACTGATATTTGTTCCCAGTTCTTTCTGACTCATTCATTGCCGTATTTGTTCTCTAATCAATTATTTTTTTCTAACCCATCTCATTATATATCCAATGATTATACATATTAATAAACTGGCACTGTAGGATTGATTTGCCCCCTGTATTTCTGAGAGAACTAACATTGGACAACCCATTCAATACTCAGCAGCACTTGTTTTAACTGGTCAAGAGACAAATTCGGAGTTGTCTGCTAGTCTCTATGCCCTCCAAGCAGTGTTAAGTATCACTATAAAATCATAACAACGTGGCAGTAATGTATAAATGATAAACGTGCAATACTCTGCTGGCAGGCTCCTTCAGATAGGATAAAGGTGCCTTTCCAATCCCTCCCACAGCTGTGAGATTTGCTGCCAGGCCCTAGCAGGGAGTGCTGCCACTCTTTGAACTGTTTTCCACCACTTGTTGTTAACCGTGGCAAGTCAACGTCAGTTAAAACAGGTCTGAAACTGTTCTGTCTCATTCAGAGACATCCTAAAGCTTTTCTTCTTGCATGTTTGTCCCTGTGTACGTAGAATATTTACAGAACACATTCACGTGTGGTAAACCTCTGAGGTCACTGAAATGTCGAGCTGGCCCAGAAGGAGGAAGAGGGAGTTTACCTGGGTTAGACTGCATGTTGATGTTTGTTCGAGAGACGTAATTGCCTATCGAGCCCTGGCCTTGCATTGGCACATTCTGAGATGCAGGCACTGTATGGCTATAACCAGGCCCAGTTCCGTGACTGCTGACACTCATACTCAGAGAGGTTGTGGGCATTGTGTTCTGGCCTGACTGCTGCATAGGCACGTGGTTTGGACCTAGAAGAATTAAAGAGAGCAACAAGAAAATCTGTGCTATTATCAGCAACGTACAGAGAGCATTAAAGCCCTCACAGCCTTTCTGAAATACGGTAAGGCAAAACAAAACAGAACAATCCTCATTATTAAAATCCTCTGTTACTGACAGACAGAACTGCTTCCTACAAAGTTACAGCAGTGTTCCTCCTCCTGCCTGCCAAATCTAGCTGTACAGAATTGCAGGGGAAAATCAGCAGCTGTGGCCTACAACCAGTTCCTCACGGGCTTCCACAGATCTTGCAGGCAGTGAAATTCACAAATGCCAGCAGTGTCAGATCCTTTAGAAAATACACAGACTCTGGAAACATCCCGGCCTTCTGAAATTCTTTCCTTCCTCCTGCCTGCTGTTAACCCCATTCACACAGACGGTGACAATAGGAAGGCACAATGGTGGCTGATAAACTCTGCACACTGCTGCATTCATTCATTCATTCATTTCCCCTCCGACCAACTGCACTTTGTGACTCAGGCTTAAGAAGCACCAGGGGGCCTCCCCTCAGAGGACCAAGAGGACAAGCTTGTCTTTCCCTTTCTGGAAGTCTGACTGAAACAACCTCAGACTTTCTGAAGACATATTGAGCAAGTGGCCATCGTAACACTGCTTACAGTACCTGCCCAGTATCACAGTCCATAACTACTGGGCTGCTCCAACTGTACCCTAGCACTGTGAGATGTGAGTAGCATTCTGCTTACCTGGCAGTGTGCTGCTTTGTTTTGTTTTGTTTTGTTTTAATTCTGTTGTTGTCGGATAACAAAAATTAGGGAAAATCTGGTCCTGATTTTTGTTATTAGTTGTTGCAAATAGTTTTATGAGTGAGTTTTGGAAAGTTGTTTTCACTGTGCATTGATACTGTAGAAATTATGATAGCATGTATTGTTGCCTATCTAAATTCAGCTGTGTATTGCTGTCTATCAAATTAATTTAGATAGAATGGAAGACAAGCAGGATCCCTAGAAGAGACAAAATTATATTGCAATGTTTAGATAATGATATTTCAATCTGGTTATTAAGCGTACCTACAGCCTCTGAAAAAATGTTTAATTCTCTTACTGCAAACCTCATTAACGACTCCTAATGATATTTCTAGTCATCAAAAACAGAAGATTTGCTGTTGATCATTATATTTTCCTCTCACGGAGAGAAGCAAGCAGCATTTCTAATAGCAAACAAACAGAGCTGTTTCTACTGAAATCTGCAGAACCAGAGACACACAAACTGCTACAGAGGTCCAGCTCTGTGCTTTGTGAGAGTTCTGAGTATCTTCTAAAGCTGATACTCGTTTTTGTGCAACACAAAACATGTGGTGTTTGAATGGCATCTGCAGGCACTGAATGAGAGAGACTGGGCTCAGTAAGGCTCACAGTAAATCTTGCCCTGTTAGCATGGGAAAACATGAGACTCTGGGCTTTCTTTGAAGTCCCCCCCCAAAAAAAAAAGTTTGGCTAATTCATGGTTGTAAAGGAAAATACGACAGCATGACCCAAAGTGTTTAAATAAAAATACTAGAACAATAAGGCAAATACAAAGCACTGAATCTCTTTCATACTTTTGTGAATCTAAGGGAGCTGAGTTTTGTTTGAAAGGCCTCATTCATGATTTCTGAACAGCGAGGATTCCCAGTTGGACCCCATTCTGTCAGGAGGCAGTTGAGCTTCCCTTGGCTGATGTCTGAATCTACAAGTTCTGCCTGCAGGGCCACGGCATGAAGAATCACCAACTTGTGGCTGTTGGATTATTGGAAATTTCAGTGGGTTGGTTTTTAACCTGTCCCTACAGGCGGAATTATCATCAGTTACCATTAGTTATTGACCCAGCAGCCACTGCTGGTAATTATCGTATATTTAGGTACTACCAAGTGACTGTCCTGCAGAGATGATTCCTGTGAAGACCAGTGTGAGGACAATAAAGGATGAAATGTACTAGTTTGAGGTCTCCTTCCCTGTCCTTTCCTCTTTAACAATGCTGTACCTGTTCAGTACAGATTTTCATCTCCTTCAGATGAAAAATTTTCACAAGAACTGGAGCCCATACATTCATCACTGCTTGTGCATCCTTATGCCTAACTTGCAAAAAAACACTGTCCAATAATCACTGGCTGATGTTAAATAATTTCTCAGTCTCAAAGCTTATCTGTTCATGAGGGTCGGGTGCCGGATAGCTTAAGGTGCCAACTCGATTCTGGCTGGCACAGAGACAGCAGCAGGAGGGGCTGGCACCCAGGTGGGTGCCCCCAGGCCTGGGGTGGGAGGCTTCCATTCTTGCAGAGCAGCGGCACATGCCATCACTGCTGCTGTTACCTGGGCTACTCACAGCACACCAGGAGAGGTGTGCATTCTCACACCTTCCTTTTGAAGAGCAGTTCTGTCTTGAGACCAGCCTCCAGTGGAGCAATACTTTAACAGCCTGGCACCACGCAGGTGCAGAGCACTGGACAAAGAGTACGCTGCCCCCAGAGCCCCAGCTCGGGCTGTTAGCACTGGGATGGGGGCACACGAGGTGAGCGTGCACCAGCACTGCCTCCCACCTCTGTTCTGCAAGTGATGGCACCCAGCAGGACTGCCTCTTAATGAGCATCACATTGCTGTAAAGAACTGGGGAGCAAAGGAAAATACAAAAAAACAGCAGCAGTAACAGTGAAAATGTAGATTCTGAGTAAAAAAAGCAAACAAACAATGTTCAGACTGATTCAGTGTAACACTTACACTAGTTAATAAATCTTTCAGAAAGGTGGCACGGATAAATTTCTCTCTACAGCTGGAAGTGTACAAAAGTAGGGACCTCCTCCATTTATCAAGAGGTCCTACCAGCCTGACCACTAATAGATTTCTAAAAACTCAGAAGTAATTTCACTGCCTGCATCTGCTCCTGAGTTCCCCTGCCAAGGTCTGTGATTTTACAGTCAGATCCTTCTATTTATAGACATTGTTTTTCTCTCTCTCTCACTTTGGGAAAGACCCACATAAACAAGAGCTGACTAAATAACCGTGAGGAACAAAATGAATACATGGATTATTAATGCTATAGAGTATTAATACAAAGTAAACAACAGCAGCAAAAATCTCAGTTAGCTTCTTTTTAGTTGCAAGAACCAAAGAAACAAATAGATAAATGTGTATATTTGTCTTATCCGTATAAAATGTCTGTGCAGACTCTTTGGCTGCATGCTACAATCCCTGAAAGCTTCTGTGGAGGACAAAGGCTGAGGTAACACCATTTTGTTCCCCCAAAGAAATCTATCTAGAGGAGCTCTGCAATCTAAAGGCTTGGTTGTGCAGTTAGTCATGCAAGCGATCCCATTTCACCCTGGCCAGCCCCACCATCTTCAAGAGAAAAATACTGCAATATATCATTTTTCTAACTAGAGACTTGGAGGCATCTTGGTGATTCTCATCAGACATTTTTAAAACTGTTTTCAATTTCTCCCATAGAATTACTAAGCAGACTGGAGGCCTCGCAGAACCCAACTTCATTACAGACTGTAGCCATTTTGTGATGATTTCAACAGTCCCAGAAATCCCCATCTGCCTGAAAGGTGAGTGAGGAGAGGTCTTTTACAGCTCTGTAAGTATTTTCTGCATTAATGATTTTGTTGCCAAGCAACAGCAAAGCAGCACAAAGGGGACCAAGGCTCACCATTGCTAATCTGACTCTGCATGAGGGAGGAAGGAGGAAGGCCCGTCCCGATTGCATCACTGAGATTGCTCTGTGAATGAAGAGACTGGTTGGATGCACTCTGAGTCATTCCTCCTGGGCCCAAGTTTATGTTTTGCGTTGGTGGCTGCAAACAACAAGGAGGAGAAGCAAATTTTTTGTTAGGTTTTATTAGGTTTTATTTAGAAAAATAATCACCCTCAAATTAGACCAAGCATGACTAAAAACTGCCTTAAGTAAGTAAGTGCTCCCCTTACTTTCTGAGCAAACCTTTTTTCCTGTGACTAGGATGTGTGAATGACATTCAGCACGACACGGGGGAGCCAGCAGGCAGCACAGCAAAGGTCTCCAAGCTGAGCTTCGAACAGAGGCTGGCTTCTGTGCCCATTCCTTTGTACTCAGATAAATTTCATTTGGACTGGACTGAAAGTAACTGCTGTGGGGAAATGCCTTCACAAACACTACACAGCAGAGTGTTGACAAACTGACCTTTGCCAAGCATAAAGCTATTGTGTGCTTTGTGTTATGCTGGATACTTCTCAAATCAATCAGTCCAGCAATAACCCCATTTTTAAAAGCAAACCAATGCCCAAATACTGAGATAAAATAGTGGCTTTTTTTTTTTCTTTTTTCCCAAGTAAAGAATACAGTAAGAATAAGCCAAGAATAATGAATCTGGAACAAATGGGTCCTGTTCACATATGTAACACTGCATCATTCCCAGTATTTAGAAATTAGGCCACTGAGACAGACATTAACACAAATATCCAAAAGAATGTATCTTAAATGCAGTAAAAGTAGCTTTGCACTTGGTTGGTGGTCTGCACATCCACTTAGGGATAAAAAAGGTTTACTGACATCTATCAGTATCTGTATCAAAGCACATTTCCCTCTGGCATAGGAAATAAATGTGGTGGTAGCACTGGTACTTACAGCAGGAAGCAAGGACTGCATATTCTGGTTAGAATCTGCTATTGTTGCCAAGTAAACAAGGTTTCTGTGCAAGATTTGTTGGTATCTACAGAATAAGGAGCAAAGCTTATTTGGAAAGGTTTAACAACACAGAAAATTCCAGTTTATTAAATGACATCAGCCCACTTTACATCTGTCAAAGCAAACAGTTGTCATACTGACCCACATCTGCGCTGCTGTGCTTTTCAACAGTGTGCTCAACACCCATTGTACCAGTGGGTAAACGTGGGGGAAGCAGGAGGCAAAGCACACGCTTCTCTGCAAGCACTTGGAGTGCGCTGTGCAGCTGGGAGCTCAGGCTTTTGAGAATTGACACTGGGTCAGCAGCTTTACCACAGATTCTTCCTCTGTCTAACCAGGGTCCCATTCGTAGTGAAATTCCAAAACCCAAAACCTGTTTGCCCTGCCAACAAGCTGAGAAGAACAAGATTTTTTCAAGAGTGCTTTAACTGGAGTGTTTACTCAAGTCAGCACCACCTGAACCATTTCTGCTTCTTCACAGCTCTCCATGAACGGGAAGAGTTCATAAGGAAGAACAGGAGGGCATCCAAAAGCAAACTACAGATGTACAAAGAGACAAACCTGGAGAGTTTGAGAAGAACGCAAGAGACAATATTTTTTAGCATGATTTTTTCTTCTGATAAGGGGAAAACGTGTGGGAAGTAGTAAAACTGGCAAATATGAAGCCAAGGTTGTGAAAGGAATACAAAAAGCGTGGAACTTGGTCATCTCCCAAATGCACACAAGTCCCATAGTGTTGCCTTCTTTGCAGAAATGTGGGGTGACCCTTATTGCTCAAAATCTTCAACAGCTTAATTTGCAAGCAGGAGGTGAATACGTTAGCATGGTTCTCCAGAATTATAAATAATCTGTTAAAAATGTTCTAAATATTAAATTCTCAAATACTATGGGGAAAAAAATAACACCCTCCATCCCAAGAACAATAAATAGTTTGTAATACAAGCAAATCTAACAGATCAGTCCAAGCATTTTCTCCCTGCTCAGTGGACAGCACTGCTCATGGTACAGCCCTTAAGAAGTACTCCAAAAGCACAGCCCGAAACTCATCATACTCACTGAGTACATTCTGCAGTTTTCCCCTTGCTCTGATAATCCATAATACACTGTATTAGGTGGTGATTTTCATCTAACATCTGCATGAAAGAAACACGATCAGAACACGTGAGAATCGTATGAAACACCCGAGTTTCTGCGACACTCCGCATTTGCTCTCCGTAGCCACAGATGGCGTTGTGGGCGCTTTGCTTTGGGACGCGAGCAGGTGCTACACGTGACGGCACGGTCCTTGACCCGCTGAGATGCCGAGGGCCCCGAGTTCTGATCACCACCCACAAGAAGATGCAGCTCACTGTCCTAAAATTGCTGTTTCTGAACATTTTAAAGCAGCGCCATCACTGCTGCGTGGCCAAAAGCTCTGACTTCCAGCACACCAGTTATCTTCTGGTGGTCTGCGGTACTGGAACGACTAAAGCTTTGAAAGACCATTGAGCTAATAAATAAAAACAAGCTGCTTTTATACTACAAATACGAATAACAACACTTTTGTTTTTCAGTGCCATTAGAATACTCAAACAATCTTGCTGTAGTGGGAATTTGTGAGGAGCCCAGCACGTGCCCCCTCTGACTGCTCCGTTTCTTACACTGAACTGGAACGTCCATTCAGTCACTGTGCCTGCAAGTCCCCTGCTCAGCACCGTGCTTTGCAAACAGCAAATCACTGCCAGCAGCCCACAACACTGACAAACAGTCCTGAAGTCACACGGCAGTTAGAGACAAAAAAAAAAAAGCCACTGGGCTATTTCACTGCTTAAAATTAATTGCTCACAACACTGTGTGCTGCGGGAGCACGGGCTTCGTTTCCAAATAGCGCCCTGAGATTTCAGTCACACTCCTCAGGCTCACAGCAGGTCGTTCTGCCCAATCTCTTTTCTGTAACGTTCTTCCCATTTTTCCCTAGAAGTCATAAATTGGCACCAGAAAATGGTTTGGCTGCAAAACCTACTGACGATCCGTTCGTTGCTGCGTTAGCAACAACGCTGCCTCACTGCCCATCGTCCACGGACCGACCACGACCAATACCTGCACCTCCCACACTGCACGAGCTGCAGGAACAAAATGCCTTCGTGGTGGGGAACGCAGCCACGGCAGCACAAGTACAAATGACAAATAGCGGTCAAAGTGAAACATGCGTCTTTATTGAGTCTCCAGCCTCTTCCTTATACAGTTACCTTTTGTGGGAGGGACGGAGGGTCGGCAGGTGCACGCACTGCACTCCCTGCTGCCAGCCCTCCGGGATGGGAAACAATAACTTCCCAACTGGGAGCCCTTCTGTACCGCGTGGAGAGCTCAATTGCAGAGAAAATCTTCAAAACCTTTGTCATTACACACCAATAAACACATCACAAATAACAGGAACAGCAGACGAAAAACACCACTGATCGCTGCTCCCTCTGGCTTCTAAGATTCCGCATCCAAAGGCGAAACCCTCGCCAATGCAGCATTTTATTTCATTTTTTTTGCTGATATACCGTCAGAAATTAAACATATATTTGCAAACGCTATTGCATTTTTCCACTGCATTATTGTCAGTCTTTTTCCCTCCAGCAGCAGCCAACGTGCCAGCGGATTTCATCCTGTACCCCTTCTCTGGCTCTCTCTGCAGCGATCTGCACACCTTTGCTTTGTTCCACCTCCTCCTCCTCCTCCTTCCCCCACCTCTCTCCAGCTGTCCGGCTCTGCAGCCCTGGCCATGCACGAGTTTCCCTGCTCGCCCGCAATCTGCCTCCTTCCACGGCTGCGGGAGCACGGACGGAATCACGTCCACCCCATCGGTACAAAGCATGCTGTTTTTACCTTCTGGATAGTTTGCTGGGTCACCTCCCCTTTGCCTCTCGGGCGAGCAGAAGCAAAGGCAACCGACATGGTGGGCTTTTTTTATGTGTCTATAATATATGGGTCCCAGGCTCTAATAATATTGTTATTATCTGCCTGCTATTGCCGTGCGAGGATTCTCCGCAGTGCGCGGGCAGGGGAGGCGCCGCACATGGTACGCTCTGAGCCCGGCGCCCAGCGGCGGCCAGCGCGCCCCGGAGCGGCACACGCCGCCCCGCGCCCGGGGCCGGTGCCGGCAGCTCGGGGCGGGGGGGCTGCGGGGCGGATTTGCGGGAGGGGAGGAGAGCGGCCGCCCGCCGCCCCGCGCCTCTCCCCGCCGCCGCACATGGTGCGTCCCTGCCGCCGGGTTTCCTGTCGCAGCCGAGCGGCATCTCCCTGCCTCCGCCGGCCGCCGCCAGGTGCGCCAACTGCGTAAGGGCGGCCGCCATCTACGCCGAGTGCGTCGAGCGCCGCGGCCGCCTTCGCCTACGCTCGTTGCGCAACGCCGGCTCCTCGCGCAAGGAGCGCGGAGCTTCGCGGCTGCAGCGTACGGAGTTGGCGCAGGGGGCGCCGTCGGCGTACTCCGGAAGCGGGCGGGGGATGAGTGTGCTGTTTTGAGGGAGGCGGCGCGCGGCCGGCAGCCATGAGCTACGACCGGGCCATCACCGTCTTCTCTCCGGACGGGCACCTCTTCCAGGTGGAGTACGCCCAGGAGGCGGTGAAGAAGGGCTCTACGGCGGTGAGTGAGGGGAGAAAGGCGGCTCCGGGTTCGCCGCGGGGCCGAGGCGGGCGCGGCAGGGAGGGAAGGCAGGCCCTGCGCACGTCGCGCCGCGGGGAGCCGCGCCGCCGCTTCGCCGGTGGCCCCGCGCGCACGGAGCGCCACGAGCCGGGCGGCGCCACGGGAGAGACGCGAAATCGGCGCTGCTGTCGGCGGAACCGCGCGGCCGGGCGGCGCTGCTGGGCGCTGTGCTGCGCTGTGCGGGTGTCCGGCGGACGGGAAAGAGGAGAGGCGAGTGGGAATGGCTTTGTGGCCGCTGCCTTCAGTGTTCGCGTTGCCCCGAGGTTCTGATGAACGAGGAGTTTTACCGCGTGGGGAATAACGGATCGCTTTCCAGGTGTTTCGGGAAGGAAACCGCCGGCCTTCGGCTGGGCGCGCGGCTGGCACTGCCCGCATCGGCTGCTGAGCGCCGATGGACGCAGCCGTCCGCGCCGCTGGAAGCGCGGAGCTCCTCGCAGCAGAGCTGCCCTGGCCCTGCAGCAGCGGGGCGGCCCTCGTAACGAGGCGCAGTGCCAGATAGCGTTGGGTTTTTTTACGGTACGGCGAGGGAGCGACCTGCGGCAGGCTGCCCCTGTGTTTGATGTGGCAGCTTTAGTGCTGCTCCTGCCGCAGTGGCTGCAGGAAAGTGCTGGTATTGGAGAACGCGGTTGTAGGAGGGTGGCAATATCTGCTGGGAGTCACACGGATTTAAATTGGTGAAAGCAGCTGATGAAACTGCGCTCAGGAACTGGATGCGATTTTTGTTACATCCGTCCTCTCCCGGGCTGTGGCAATAGGAAACAAAGTACTTCAAGCTGAAGTTTATAATGTTTGCTTTGCTGTTTTTTTTTCTCTCCAGGCCCTCATTCCAGTATTCTGCAACCTGTTTAGGGGACCTAAGTTAACTTTTTTTTTCCTCTTTTCTTTGAATGCATTGAAGGTTGGAGTCAGAGGGAAGGACATCGTTGTTCTCGGCGTGGAGAAGAAGTCTGTGGCAAAACTTCAGGATGAAAGAACTGTACGGAAGATCTGCGCCCTGGATGACAATGTCTGCATGGCTTTTGCAGGTGTGTGATCCCTGCAGAGTGTGGGGTTTGGTGCAGCAGTTGTTAGGCTGCCTTTGGGTAAGGTTATGGTTTCATAGGGCATGTATAACTGAGTGAGGGCTGTGGGGAAGGAGCATGTTTCCAGTTACTTCCACTTTTACAAATAGGTGTAGATAGGGCATATAGGAGAACCAGTGATTAAATGGGGATGAAATATTGGTTAGAACTCACAAGGTCCACTGAGTTTAACGTGAGGATGAAGACTGAGAAGTAACATTATCAACACAGATATGGAAATACAGTGTTCAACAATATGTGAGCTCGTGTGAACATGTGTACATTTCAGCAGTTATCTCCTGTCTGTAAGTAATTCTTTGTATCAGTATTCACAATGCTTTAAGAGGAGATCTGATTCGAGCAGGCAAAAATACTGATTTTTGAGATGTAGTGTGCCTTGCTTCCTCAGCTGGGCATTGTGATATGTGCAGGTGGGTTCACAAGCTTAAAGAATAGCTCTATAATGGAAACAAGGCTCCCAGCTGAAAATGGCATTGCTGGCCATTTTTTGTCAGCTAACGTCATGCTGCTGTAGTTCCATCAACTAGACAAGATTTATTGTGCAGATAAGCTGATTTATAGAGAGGGGTGTTGTCAAAAGAAATGCAGCCACCGTACGTGAGAATGGAAGCTCTGCCATTAGACTGAATGCTTCCAGTCTCTCAGGGGGATTCTGATTACCTGGTTCCAAATTGCATGTTATTTAACAGTCATGAAACCTGTAAACAAAACGTATGTAATTTTGATTCATTAGCTTATTTCTGTTGCCTTTTAAATGATGTCCTCGCTCAGCAAACCTGGGAAGGCGTGACCTCTTGTACGCTTTCCTTCCCTCACTGTTGGCACTGACCTTGTGAGCCTTTTGGAGCAAGACAAGCTGTCTGTGCTCGTGGTGTGAAGCACGAGTTGAGCACAGCGAATCCACTGTCATTGCAGGGCTCACAGCTGATGCCAGAATAGTTATAAACAGAGCTCGTGTGGAATGTCAGAGCCACAGACTCACCGTGGAGGATCCGGTCACCGTGGAATACATCACGCGTTACATCGCCAGCCTGAAGCAGGTGTGCTGTGTGGGGTCCTTCTGTCCATGCGTCCTGCTGTGCAGGAGCTGTGTGTGGTTCTGCTGGCAGAAAGCAACAGAACGCTGCTGGCTGTTGGAAATGAAAATGTGGTAATAGAACATGAGGATTGACCGCCAGCCTTCCTCAGAAGATGAAATCAGTCAGTGCCTGTAACAGCTGCGTGAGCACATTGGTGATGTTACCAGGGACGCTGCCCATCTGTGGCTTTAATTCATTCTCATCCTGGCTGTGATGCATTTCCTGTTCCGGTTTCCCTTCTAAGACACTGCAGGGAGAGATGAGAGGGCAGCAAATTAAGGCAGCACTTAATATATTTAGTTTGATATTCGTGAATGTAAGATTAACGACAGGGTCAAAATATGCCCAACTGCCTTCTGTGGTAAGATTGTTCATTTGCTGCTGGTGTATTGAACTAATTTTCAGCAGCTAGTGGGGATTAGCAAAAGTCTAATTTATTTATGACGTGCTAGCACAGTGATGATGACAATGGTGTGATGCTGGTGTTCATTACTAGCCTGTCAGAGCAGAATCTCACTTTGTTCCTTCACAGTAATCTCACATCTGTGTATTTCATTCTGGCACGCTTGCAATCTCTCTAAAAGTAGCAGCAGTAAATCTTGCAGCTCTGCTGTTGGGCCTCCATGCTTTTAGGGTCACTTGTGGTGAGTGATGTGCTGCAGCAGTGAGCAGAAGGGCTGTGGCACTGCCTTTCCTACAGCCGGCTGCCATCGCAGATGAAGCCTGCTTTGTCATTCATGGAATTGTTGCACATCGTTGCTGAAAGCTGGCTTTGTGCTCATCGTTGTGCTTGTGAAAGCACAGCGCCGCACCCGGGCATGCAGTCACTGTCAGCAGCTCCTGGCAGCCAGTCTCTTCCTGATAGTTACAGTGGTGCAGAAAACTTCAGTGGATGTTAGGAAAAGTGGCTGAAAAGTGAAGTAACCGCGTCAGCTGCTTGGCTTACGGCCTTTGGTAGGACACAGAATCCTGCCTTCTGTAGGTAGATGGGTGAGAAAGCCTCCTGAAAATATTTCTGATGCCTTTCCTGGTCGTAACATACAAATGTCTGCTTTCTGCTCTAACGACGGAGCTGCTTGTGAAATGCATGCCTGTTCCTTCTGAGCAGAGGTACACTCAGAGCAACGGTCGCAGGCCTTTTGGAATCTCTGCTCTGATCGTGGGATTTGACTTCGATGGAACCCCCCGGCTGTACCAGACCGACCCCTCTGGCACGTACCATGCTTGGAAGGTGAGCTGGTTCCGTCCTTCTGGAGGTGTAATGAAATATTTAAGAGTTACCATCTCCTTTAAGAGGGATGGATGTAGAAGGAGATGAACAAATCCATCTGCGTGGAATGGCAGTGTGCAGTTCAGCTCCACTTGGGAAATTTTACCATGTTTTCTTGTTTCCCAAGTACACAGGGGTGCCTGACTGCTGACTGCTTGAGCGGTGGGGGAAGTAATGCGTTCCATCTCCTGAAAAACACAGTGATCGCAGAAGGGTTTCAGATCATCTAACTGTACAGATCCCATTCGTTGCTAATTCCAAGCTTCTTCCACCCCATCCATTCCAGGCTAATGCCATTGGCAGAGGAGCTAAATCTGTACGTGAATTCCTGGAGAAAAACTACACTGACGAAGCCATTGAAACAGATGATCTGACTATTAAGCTTGTCATCAAGGCTCTTCTTGAGGTGAGTCTCCCTCAGGAGCTTTGTGTCACTCTTCACCTCGTGTTTGGATCAACTTCCTGATTGTGAGTACGCTGAAATCTTCACCCACGTGGCAGCAGAGCTTTACAAAAGGATCTCTGAAAAGTGCATTTGTTGTTTGCCGTAGGTGTGGGGTTATAAGGTTCAGAGTACTTCAGAGAACTGTGCCTGTAACTTACATGGAGGAAGTTAAACTGCAGTCCTCAGGGGAGGGAAAAAGACTTCAGTTGTTGCAATTAATATAAATGAACCAAAATGCACTAAACTCCACGTGCGGTATGCTTTGTCTTTGTGCTGAAATTTGAGGTGAGGAAAGCTTAAATCAAAATTCAGATGGTGGAAATGTGATGGTTTTAAGTTAAGCATCAACTGGCTGCATTGATGCCAAAAGGAATGCCTCCTTTTTGGGGATGGGTTTTCCTACTGCTGGGATAGAGGGCTTGGAGCTAAAGAAGTGCTCCTTTTCCACAGCTGTTTTTCCTAAAAGGTCTGAAAGAGAGGTGTTCAAATTGTTTAC